AGTAATTCATCTACGCTTGAAAGACTACCTGATTCAGCGTTAAAAACTTCCTTTGTTACCTAAGCTTGTGTCAAAATCGCCTGGGCATAGGAACTTCCACAAGTCTGAAGAATTCATAGATGTATACATCTAAATTATCTACTCCGGCTGAACATTCGACGATTTTCCTAAAGAAAAAAAAACTTCGATTAAAACCCACTTCGAGCATCTGTCACGGGAAAAAAAAATTTAAATACAACGAGTCCCATTAAAATCAATCCTTGGATTCCCACAAATCATCCGAAAGCTCCCTCCGTAAGCACACCGGACCTAATGGCACACACGTATACGGGTCCCCGCTCACCGGTAGCACGTGGGTGTCGCTGCGATCGGAACACGACGCGACACCAAAGTACAAAAAGAGGACAAAAGGGAGGAAGGAAGCGCACGTATCCGCATAAGAAGAGAGGCACGTGGGCCGCCTCTACGCACGACGTGATTAATGCGCATCAGCATGCGATATATATACCTTATACCGTTCCTGTATCTATATCGAGGCCTATACGTCTCTCCAAGCACACATACACCCCTCTGCTGGCGACGGGTACAAATGGGGCGCTCGACGGCCCCTGCCCATACACCGACGACCCAACAAATTGTCGAAAGAAGCTGAAAGCTCCCCGGTGCCGAGCTACAACCACTGTGCCGGGTTTTTGAAATGCCGTTGGGCTTTTTGCCTCGCGTTCATTTTTATTTCTGTTTTGGGGGGGGGGGAGTCCATACGCGCGAGAGGGAGAGTACTTTTTTTTTTGTGTCTCCCTCTCACCCCCTTGTGGATTCCGCGAGGTACACGGGCTGGACGCGTAGAATGGAATTCCCGAGGTTGGCCGTTCTCGTTTTTCTCCCTTTTCGTTTTTCAAGAGCATCGTGTACGCGCGGCCACGAGAGGCGCGCTAATGTACTTCCTACTTGTCGAATCGGCGTCGCGGCGTCGTAGTGCTCGTTGGCTCTTCGTACACGTGGCTGGACTTGTATAACAGCTCGATTAGAACGAGCATGGGCAAGGATTTTTTTTTTCTTTTTTGTCTTCTTTTTCGTTCTTGTTATGAGTTATTTTGCGGTTTTCAGGATGTTAAAGTCTTCATCGGTGGTTGTAGCAAGTCTTTTTTTCTGGGCAGCAATTGGTGGTGGAGTAGTTTTTTGGGTTCTGGAAAATTGCTAAGAATATCTGTGGCTTGACGAGGTGCTGTTGGATGTACTCTGTAATTAAAAATTCATCAGTTGAAGCCCTTGGGCTCTGGACCATTTCTTTGGCTATAATGGCTCGGAAAATCTAGATCGTAAGCAGAAAAAAATCTTAAAAAGTTACGAAACTTATAGATACGTGTATTGATCCGCAGAGTCCTAGGAAGGTTTTTTTTAGTTTATCAAGGTTATTGCACCCTTTTCTTAACAAGAGAACCACCATAACTGTACCAGTGCTGCACATGATTTAATAACACATTTAATAACACAATTCAAGGCTAGAAAAACCAAAACCATTAGTTATTTTCGTCAGGATAAAAATTTCATGAAAAAAAACTCGGAACCCTTTTTGTTCTCAGAGCAGGTCTTTAGTTTTGGTTAATGGCGTTAATTAGTCTTGCCATGACTGTGCGTAATGTACTTTGGAATTATTTCCTAGACAATACAAATGGACCAAAGCTCATTTCGTTAGCGCTGTCACGAGGATATTTTTCCATTCTCCTTCGAATCTTGAAGCTGCGCTCGATCCTCGAAATAACTCGTGTAAGATTTTTGAAAAATAAAATGCCATTATGAATTTTGTACCTTCATTCCTCCGTTGAACGGCGAGTATCTTATTTCTGAAAGTCTCCTCCCTACCGGATAAATGTAATTTTCACACACAAGCCTGAGATCGAGGAAGACGTGTGATTTTTTTTTTTTTTTTTTTCCTAATCAGGAGCAATTTATCTTTATGTCTCATTCATTGCTCGAACAAACTGCGCATGTACAAACAAACGCATAAACTCACAGTTTCCATGTCTAAGCGTACGAAAGATACTTGCTCCTTTGATCGTAACAAATAAGAGCAAACAACAGCCAAGAGGAACAACAGTTATCCAAAGGGTCTGCACACGCCCGCGACCGAATCGAAATCTCGCGAGCGCATGTATATTACATTCATATACACCAATAGAAGTGCAAGAGGAGAGAGAAAGAGAGAGGCAGACACGATCGGTTCGCCCATGAGTTCGATAACACGCGCTAAAATATATACATGTACAATACATCTCCGTGGCGAGCCTTGGGCTATTAGCGCGCGAGCGCGAATCTACCTGCTTGGCTGGCCCGATGTATTCATGAGGCCGAGAGTACGTATATATACAGCGGACGAGACCGGTAGGGCCCCCCCCCGTTTTTCTCCCTCGCGAACGATTTAATATTAATAGAGGCAGCTATACCGCTACATATTTATATATATATACATGCAAAGGAAAAGGTGCACCCGCGGGCTTCGTCGCGAACCGGGAGGAAGAGAAAAATGAAGAAGCTACGGCGGCAGCGTCTCTCTTTCTCTCTCTTGGAGGATCTATCGGTTCTTATCTTCCTCGCACCTCTTCTCTGCGTGTCTCTCGCTCTCTTTCCTTCGTACATTATATCGCTGCGAAGTAGAGGAGACGAAGAAAAATAGCCTGTGTGTCTTTTGCTTCGGGCAGTTAAAGGTACATAAGCGAGGCAGCGAGAAATGAAGAGGGAAAGAAGTACATCAACGTGTTTTAGGTGTGTGTGCACGCCTTCGGGAAACGTGTGTGTGTGGATATATCACGGGGGATAATGAATTCGGAAAAGTCGGGCGAAACGACGATGCTGAATTTATGGGGCAGAGCACACGAAAGTCCGTCTTTCCTAGGTACGTGGATATAGATTTTTTAAAGGGTGTAGTGTATGGTGTTGAGGCGATGAATGTGCTTGGTACAGTATACTCACATAATTGAATGATACGGGTGTACTAGCTTGGTTCTTTGTGAAAAGGCTTAATTTAACTCCGTACCAGCTGGAGCGAATGAACGGGTTCCTTGATGTTGGTAGTGGATGATGGTTTGTACTTTGTTTTCTTTCGGTTGTTCAACTGTGTTCCCAAGATTTCCGTAATTGAATATCGGAATACTGTATTTATCGAGGGGCTGCGCATTCTTGAAGTCTTTAAAAAAAACTTCGTAAGTCATTCTAAGTCTTTCAAAGACTTCAAAAGTCTCCAAAAGACTTCAGACTCTTTTCCGGGACTTGGAGAGTGCATATAGCTTAAAGTCATCAAAAAATACTTCATAAGTCATTCTAAGTCTTTCAAAGATCTCGGAAGTCTCCAAAAGACTTCAGAGTGCGCAGCCCCTCGGTATTTATTTGTGATCAGGAAGTATTTTATGTGTTTGAAGTCATCACTTTCGAGGCATATCTGAGAGATTAGCTGATGATGGTTGTGTTTAAAAAGAGTCAATAAAATCCATTATTTCTTTTCGTTTGGAATAAAAGAAACTGAAAAAATGGTATTTTAATCCTTGCGTTATCAATAAAATTGAAAAACTTTGTTCATTTTCAATTTTTAATCAGTATTATTCAACAGACCTCAAAATTTTCTTAGGTTCTTTGACTTTTAGTAAATATAACTTATAATATATCTTATTATCGATCTTTTTGTAGAAGGACTATAGTCTGATATTCAAGAGTCATACCATTGCATTTCTCAAGAATCCGTAGGTAAGATTCGATTATTCAGATCTTCCGTAGTTATTCGAAACACATGTCAGTTTTCTCCAGCTTTTTCAGGGATCCTATTTGAATAGTACTTTTCAGCTTCACAACCAATAGGTGATATTGTTTGCTTCCCCGATTTCAAAGAAGATGATTCCGTTCAAACATGGATGCCCCATCAGAAACTTTCCAGCTCATAACCATAATTTACTTAATCTACCTAAATTGTCCTTTTCTTTATAATGTTCTCGAATGTGAGCTTATACGCTTTGTATATTCTAGTTGTCTCATATTACAGAAGCTTATAGTCCCCTTGGTACTATAATCTGACCGCTCCAACACGATTCGGTTCCAGTATTGACATCCAATTCGAGGATATATACGATTTCAATCTTCGATTTCGCAGTCATTTGTTTATTTTCATATCTTAGAGAAACAAAAGATACCTTTCAGAATTATACGAAACGTCCGTCAACACAACCAGCCACAATTTATCATTTACTGGATGCATAATTTCACCTTGATAATCAAATAATACTGGAAGTAATTATTCGGTAAAAACATCACTTTGATTCCCAAATAAAAATGCAAGTATTTGGAGAGATATGTCTTCTTTAAATTAATCATAGATCAATCTCATGAATTCATGCCACTATTTCTTCTTCATCCTTTCTTTCTCCTATGTTGTACAATAAATTTGACCAACTCTAAGTGTAGTATAACCTGAAATAGATTATTCTTAAAACCTAGAATTCGGCCTCTGTCGTAAATTTCCAAGTTATCAGATAATCTTTGGAATTAATCCTTTGATTGACTGATTGTTATTACATTTTATCTCATAATCATCTTGATAATCATACAATTATGGTTTAAGTATTTTCATCATTGTAGTTGTTACGTGTTTTTTGAAGCTCTTTCCATAATATTCAACTTGGCTTGTTAGTTTCTAGATACTTTTTATCTTAGGCATCCGGGTGTCCATCACTGTATGTTGTCTAAAATTTCTCTTTTTTTTCTATCATGTGATGAGTCATTGTCCAGGATAGCATTATAATATTAAAACTATCTTAAGACTAGTGACTACAGCATTACTATACAACTAACTATCAGTCTTTTCCTTGTATTTATCCATAGACTCCTTTCACTTGCTCCTTTTTCATCAAATAATATTGAAACTACCAAGTTTGCATTTCAATATTATTTTTCCTTATATTGTTGCTGGGTGTTGAACCGCCAGAATTCGTCTAGGTATTTCCAGGATCTATAAGCTATTCCAGTTGGTATCCTATTGTCTGGATCGTCTTGGACATTCCTTGCATTTTTGAACCACCAGTTTTCGTTACATTCTTTATAATAAGTAACTGTGGGGACTTGCCCATCCCGGTATCCAGTCTATCCACAGCCTGGCTTTGATCCCTAAATCAGATAGTTCTATATGAAATTTTTTTGGCTATACTGGTGGTTTGGGCATCTTAATATCGTAGCTTACTCTTTCTTCTGGTTCACTCTAAGATTCTACACAAAAACAAAAGAGTTAATTAATAGCTTCGTTACTACATTGGCACTCATAGTATCACGCGTTAAATTTGAGAGAGAAGTTACACTGTTGGTAGCGTAAAGTTGAAGTGTTTGTTTACAATTGAAATGTATAAATTGACAAGAACTACCATCCGTACATCCTTCGACCATATCATACACTGGAATATCATTAGAATGAAATATTTGCGTATTATTACGTCGAATCACGTGGTATTTGATTCAATTATCCAATCTAATTGAAGCTGGATAGAAGTGCCTACATGCGCAGACGAGAGATGAGAGATGAGAAAATCAGTGTAATGAAAGAACGAGAGATGAAGAAAACGATAAAGAAGAGGAAGAAGAGAATGAGTTTGCAAGAGATATTGCGTCAGGAGGGAAAAGACGGGGGCGAACGAGCAAGCCCTGAGTAAGGAAGCCCGAGGAGGTCCATCTAGAAGGCTGACGCTTGGGCCTTGGCTCTTTAGCACGTGCCTGCGTGCATAGATACGCGTATCGTGTGTTAGCAAGTATACCTCGTACACGAGAGAAATATGGTGTGCAAAGCGAGTTAGTTATGCAGAATCCTTTCTTTATTCTGTTTTCCCAGTCGTGTTCGTTCTGTACGACGACTTCCGATCGCTCTAAAACTTGCGCGCAACTAGACAGTCTAATTGCACATGGGGGAGGAATAGTCGGGTCTGATTTTTTTATCGGGAATCGTTGAGTGGCTGAAACGTGCGAGGACAAGAGAAAAACGACTTGACGGCTCTTGAGATTTTATTGTTCGTGAGAAAAGGAGAAAATGAGGCGGAATGCAATAAAATTATTCTGCTATGAATACGAGTTTGGGAGGATTACTAGCAATCCCGATAAAGGGATATGTAGCTTTCGCACCATAGAAAACTTATTAGTGAAGATTGAGCGACGTCAACTCCACCCATATTCGAGGAAAAGCAGGCAGCTTTTGAAAATTGGAAAAATGGTAATCAAAGAAAAAGAAAGGAATTGATTTTAATTTGACTGCACAGAGAGAGAGAGAGAGAGAAAACTGTATTATTTCGATTACAAGTGCACGGACAGGGCGATAAGAAAAGGAAGATGATCACAAAAGAAGATGAGGATCGAGGCGAGGTTGGAAGAAAGAGAGAAAACAGAGAGTTGCAGGGAGAGTGATTGCCTGGCAGGTAGCGAAAGAGAGAGGCAACACGAAATTGCACTTTAATGTGTGTTATTGAAACACACCGAGAGTTGCCTGGACGAGGTATGCGTGCGCGCCGTACCCGTGGATGAGCTTTCTTTGCAAAATGTTTGACTTTAAGCAAATTGCCGAGACGCTGGTGGTGATGCTGTCGTGGAATGGAGGTATTAAATTATTACGTAGACACGACAGAAATATGTGGTAGCTCTACAGATTGAAAGTATTAATACGGGGAATCTTTCGATCTGCGTGGCTGCAGCTCTCCGATGGAAAAGGCTTGGGGTTGTTGTACCTTTTTATCATTCTTCGAGGATGCGTGTATAAAGTTCTTTACTTTTGATTATTATTATTTTTTTTTTTTTTTTTGCTTTCGTAATAATAACGTACTATTATTGCAACGATGCTCATACGACCGATAAAAATCAATCAATCACTATTATCCATTCCTAAGGAAGCGTAGGGGGAAATAGCAAATCCGATATCTTAGAGATGAGAATGATCCCGATAACGATGTTCGTTCGTGGGTACTTCATCGTCGAAATGAATCGAATGAATTCCAGTTTTCTACGTGGTGCTTCTCCCCGAGAAAACCAACCCCTCGAGCGGCTAAACGCAAAACCCCACAAAAATCCAAAAGAAACATCGCACAGCAAATAAATGCTTCGTCGAGCCGTCATTAAATACCCATCAGCTTGCTCATTTTCCTCCAAAAAGGAAAAAAAAAGGATCTAGGGAGTCTCTTCCCCTCGACCCTGTGTACAATACTGTTGCAGTAGCTGCATGACGCAGCATCTATCCGTCCACCATATCTGCACCATCCTATCATCCAAGCATCAAAACGAAGAAGCTCCTGCCACGTAGGGGAGACCAGCACACAACACTTGAGACGCGCTCCAATATTCGCGAACGAGATACACATTCCCCTCTCCCCTAAGATAATCGCCCATGTATGTATATATACCAAGGCGGGCCCACGTCGCCGGCTGCATCGCAAGCCATAGGTGCAGTGCACACATCAGGCCCTCGGGGCCCCGCTGCTGTTGCTACTCTATACGCGCACGTCCCCACTCCCTGTGGACGTATACGCTGCTTTAGCGATCGCGGGGCCCCACATCCTTTCCACTCCTCCTTCTTCTACTGCAGTGCGAGAAGAGAAAGAAACTTCTTCCCTCTTGCTCTTTTCCATCCAGGCCTGCTGCTCCCGATGCCTCTCTCACAACAGCCTTCAGTACCGACTTTGGCTGGCTTCGCGTATGCCACGGCACGATCGGTTCCTCCGTGTGTTTTTATTCGCGCGCGCGCTCGAGTGTCTATACTTACGCGTTGTAAAGCGAACGACGGCTTGTACGTTGCCCTTCGCGAATTCACCTGCTGCTCGAGCGGGTGTGCCGTAGCGGTTGGTGTTTTTTTTTTTTTCATCTTTCCGAGTGCGGAGGAAAGTTTTTTTTTTTTTTTTTATGGTTCAGTGATTAGACCAGTTAACACATGCTCGAGGAGGAGGAGGATGAGGTTTTGATGATCTCCGAGTACCGATTTTTGTTTTCTTTCTCGGTACAATATTACCAAGTGTTGTGATTGTTGGCGTGTCATCACCAACGAGTGAGTGCGAAGTTGCGGTAACGGCGTTTCACTGGAAGACAACGTCCCTTCGGTATATTTACGAGTGAGGTTGTTGCGATAAGCGAATCAATTAACGAGTCAACGGCTGGGATGTCGTTTTATCGCGCTTTCGGAGCAGCGAAAAGCAGAAAATCCACCGCTGAGTGATCCGATTGAAGTCGCACATGCAGAGAGATACACAGAGTCCGGCTGAATCGCATTTGCATGGCTGATCGAGGCGTATTACGGCTCATAAATGTCCGATCGGCTCGTTCATCGGAGCGTGAGGACCGAGGGATCGTTTTTTTTTTTTTTTTTTTTTTTTTTTTTCTTGCTGTCAGTTGGGAAAGTAAAATCGCATCGTCGATGGTTGCGAACTTTTCCAGTTGGATTAGAGATTTATGAAATGAATGATTACGACTACCGATTTTTCTCGCGTGATTAACTCACCGAATCATCCTCATGAAACGGTGTTCAAGTTATTTCACGTGTGTGTTTGGAAAAAAATCAAAATCACACATTACCGATTTGTAAGTCGAAAAAATCGAAAATCCGATTTATGATGGTTGCCGCGCAGGTGTAGATTTATTCACGCAGGTCAATATCGTCGAATTAAAAATCAAACACGTCCCATTAGACGAACTCGAGCGAGCGTGCATTCCTTCCCTGCCCCTTGAATTAACGGAAGAGGCAGCGATCGGTGTTTATCAAACTTCAAAGTATCACTCGGCCGAAAAATCGGTATCGATCGATAAGCCCGTAAGTAAATAAAAACAAAAAAGCCTCGCCTTCGCGCCCTGCCTAGTTTTTCGCGGATATTCGCGCGTCCCACGTCCTACCCACACTCGCACACGCAGCAACGGAACACCGGATCTAATGAATCAGAGCGACGCAGAAAGGGGAGAAGCTGTAAAAATCGGCAAACGGGTTGCGCCTCTCTCTTTCTCTCCTTTCCCTCCCTTGCGAGAGATACGCCGGGCTGATACGATCGTCGCTCGGAAGAAGAAAAAAAAAGAGAGAGGACGAATCAATCGATCGGCGCATACTGGACCCAGGGCATCTGATTTATCGCGCCCCATTACGGTCGCGCTGCCTTAATGGAATTACATATATATATGTATGTACACTCTCTTGGGCTGTGTACGCTAGACGCGTGTGTATATACCGGGAAAGCGAGAAGTAGCGGCTTTTATAATATGTGTGTGCTGCGATACCGATGCCGCTCGTTTTTAATGGGCGCTTAGGCGCGTGCAAGCGCACGCGTTTATTACAGGCCACGGCTGGTGGGTTTCCCAGTACGCCGATTTATTACTCGGTTCGATTGGGCGTTTCAGATTTTTTAATTTTGCAGTGTAGCTACCGAAATGAGTCTTTTTTGAGATAGAGGGAGGATGGGAAATTGCTCTACTTTGCGTGCGTATAGAAGTATGGCGAGATTCAAGGATCGATACAAAGACACGGATCTTGAATGGGAAGGTAGGGGCGAGATTTCCCGTGGCTTTGGGGAGTTGAAATTTCCAAGGAGTAGCTGACGAAAATAAAACGACTTTGGATGATAGCTTTTTTTATTTTTCTAAATTATCAAGTTTTTCGGGTCCTTAAAGTACATGTTTAATCTGTCTAAGGTGAATTTACAATTATGGTAAAAGCACCGCTTTGAAACGATTTTCAAGTGTTTTCTTTTGATTATTAGAAAAAAAAAGCAATATTGACTTATTCAGCGTAAATTTTCTTTTGTTCAAAGTGCTTAGTCTTCAGTATTTTAATTTTTAAAAATGTTTATAGTTTTATAAAATTTATTCATTGATAAAACTTTAATGGCAAATTGGGTCTATCAAATAAAACTACCGAAATTTCTGTCCATTTTTGAAACAGACTGTCCCCCGTATGAAACAAACATGTATTTTATATGCATTCTGTGTGTTTCATACAAGGAGCATCATATGTGTGAGATTATGTTTCCAATGCGTCCCAGTTTGAAATGGCTCTTCACGATGTTAACTTGTTTTAATTAACCAGACCATAAAACAAATAAAAAGTCTCATTGTTTTAAGAAGTTTACACTTAAAAAATTTTACGTTAATTATTTCTTCGTAAACAATCGTCTAGAAATTTATTTATTAATATTTCACGTGGGAGACAAAATTTTTCAAGTGCTTCTCAGTGGTACTTTTACCTTATTCACGATACTTGTACATATGAAATCCCGCATACTAGGAGGGAAAAATTGGTTAATGCCTCTCGTAAAAGCATCTATCGGTGCTGGTATTTAATATTTTACCATAAAAAAAGCTAATTAAGCTCTCCCACGTGGGAGAGCACACATCGTTGTTTGGTTTTGAATCGCACGCCAGCGCCTCAAATCTAGTTGCACTACATACGGTAACGTCGGGTTCTTCCGGCAATCCCCGCCCCCTCACTTCACGACACTCGGCTGCTTCGCTCCGGCAGCTCGCTCCGTACAACCGTCCACGTAGCACGTAACTGGCCATCTCCTGCCTCTCCAAGACAATCCTTTTATACCGAGTAACTCGGTATACCGAGAACATTGATCCTTCAAGCTGGATTATCAACTCCGAACTCAATATGTAAGTAGATACAGAGTAAGGCTACATTTTGGCGAGATTTTCTCGGGGAGAACTAAGCCTTCTCGTGGAAGGCCCCCCCCCCCCAACTCAACAATCGATTCATGGCCTCCATCTGACCGACTCGCTCATTTTAGCACGTGCGAGGCCTCCGCAACCAGTTTTGGACAAGATGGAGTCAAGAGTATCGAAGTGACTGAAGTGGGCTTTTCCCAAGCGCGATTTCAAGGTGGATGACATCATCTTTATCCTGGACTCAACGACTTCCCTCGGCTGCTTCGCTCCGCACCACCGTCCACGTATCTGGACATCTTCTGCCTCTCCAAGATATAATCCTTTTATCGAGAACAATCGTACACTACGCGTAAATCATTAAAGTAAGCACAAGTCAACTGTATACGTCACCTATCAGTAAGCCGACATTTTTTTTTTTTAATTATCGACATCAGAAATACGCACGAGCTGCGGAGATAAGAAAAATTCTTGCGCATCCCACGTATACTCGCTATCTTAGCTCGCCATCTTACATGTACAAATGTACCTGTGTGCTGTACAGTTGAGGTTCTTCCTGGTATTCATCATCGCGAACACCCTCTATACGTGCGTCGTGCACCTTCTGGAAAAGCGCGTTAATTAAGTCCATCCGAGATCCTCTTGCCCAACAATTAAAATACGCGAAATACCCGAAACCACGTACCTGCGGCTCTCATCCTCAGCCATTCGTTTCATCGTCTATACTCGCGCGTTCAATAGCAGTACTTACACACTCAAGTGGCATAGGATTTTAAAAGGTTTTCCTTTTTTGCTATAAATATATTTACATGCGACATCGTCGCAACCTAACCTTTAAAATGTACCGTCAGCACGTGTGTTACATAATGCTGATGTTGGGATGTTTTTTCGAAAAAGAAAATATTGTTGCAACATCTAGGCGCAGTCAATTATATCTTACGGATGGTTATTCTCTTTGGTCGGATTCCTAAATGTTCCTCGCAATACGTACTATTTTCACGAGTTAACATAACTTATGGAAGGAAGTTATCATGTGTATCTTCAAGTTGTTACTTTAATCCTGACTAAAATCACAATACAAATTTAATACAAGTTTTTGGTAGAGCTGTTCACAATCGATTCAATATTGATTCATTTAATTTTAGAGTTAAATTAAATTGACAAAGATCAGAGATATGACCAAATCTCAGAAATTTTTTACTTTTCGTGCTAAGCTTTACTATTCCTACGAATCACCATGTTCCGACAGTATACTTTTACAGTTTTAGTCACGGCATGTAGATGTAAATGCAAGAAAAAAAACATGATAAGACTTTTATTCTTTTAATGTGAAAAAATTCAAAAAAGGCAATTACGATGACACAGTACAAAAATTACATTCATTTCCAAGGAAACAGAACTATTTAAATAAATTATCAAATTTCACAGTCTAACAACACTTTCGACAGAAATTTTACGAAAAAATTGTCAAACTATAATATTAAAATAACTTACTTGGCTTATTTCATACTTCTACTAAGAAAAAAAAAGACTTACGCCTAAGGTTGTAAGCTAAAATTATAAATTTCCATCAAAAACGTTCTTGTACTAATGTTATTAAATATCATTTTATTCCGTGCTCAAGCAAACTCGCTTTTTATCCGGCACCTTTTATACAGTCCACACAAACGATACAGAGAGTGAAAAAAAATTAATTTTGTTTTAAAAAACAAAAGATTCAGTCATACATTCACTTAGTATTTGCAAGCTTTCTCAATTCTCGTACGTTAAGATATGAAAAAATATTCCACGTAATGAGTTCGGGCAGACTGTTGAAATCTAGCACTTCCAAAACACATTTTAGACCTTCGTTCAAAAAGTATTTCGCATCATTCAACATTATTCTCCTTTCTATCGCTAGTTCAGCGCGAATTTTTATCACATATTCGTGATATTCAAGTTCTTCTTTTTCATTTAGTTCCGATAAAAAATTTTGGATCTGATTAAAATAATTTACATTTTTCAGCAGCTTTACGAGCGAATCCATTCGTATTGTGACGATATCAAAATTAGATATCATCTTATTTGGTTCGACTATTCTCCAATCATCCAACTTTTTTTGGCAATCCAACAGAGTTTCCAATAAATCCTTGTGTCCATTGATTAGTCCTTTCATTGAAATTGAGTCCGCATTTAATTTATTTAACCTCAAGTCAATGACATAGTAAAAGACCAAAAGACGCGCCAATTCATCCACGGTGGAGGTTTGAATGACTTTCAAGAAACTTTGAATCATCAATCGGTTAACGGAAACGGTGTCCATGAATTCCCAAAACAAACAGGATATCTTCACATGATTTACGTCAAATATGTTCTTACCAAAGTAACGCATAATTGGAGGAAAACGCCTGTTGATAGGAAAATATTGGCGTTTGAGTAAAATTAGTTGACCACGAAATTTCCGACATTTTGATAATTAAATAACAAACCTGTCAGCTCGATAACCAACCTCCAATAGCATTTTAACGATATTGTATCCATTCCAACGAGTAAGAGTAGCGTGGGTTAGTACTGCGTTTATGTCTCTATGATTATTGCCTGCCCCGTCGATGTTGTTCATGTCGAGCCAACTACCGACAATTTCTTCGTAACCCAAAAAGGTAGCAACGATGAGTTCATAGAAATTGGATTCACGGTTGTATACATCAGCACAAAAATCGTTGATGTCATGTAGATTTTCATTTGCCAATGTACTCCAAACGACTCCTGTGATTTTGGTAAGCATCAAATGTACCAAGTATCCATAATTGTTTAATGCCGCGAGATAGAAGGGAGTTTCACCAATATTATTCCGTGCTCGCAAATCCGCACCTGAGAAACGATGTTAAAACTTAATAACTGCAAATTGGAATGTTTTACACCAGTATACAATTTGCTCTTTTAATAATGTTTCCTTCTCTGATATTTGTAATAATTAAATATTTAATTTTCCTATCTCGAGGCGTTTTTCATGACGTTCGGATGTTCACTTCGCTCTCAGTAGGAAAAATAGTGTACCCTATGGACCCTTGATCCCTGATCTGGCCACAAAATAGCTCCAGTGGTGATGGCACTAACGTGATGAAATAGGCAACGACTGTTTATATATGGATCTAACTTTTCTAACTACAACATCTGCTAAAACGGCATCTTTCATCAACAAAGAAGAGTATAAACGTTTATTTGTTTAGCAGGCTTTTAATTTTTTAAGATTCACGTAATATGGTGTACGACCCCATTATTAAGCCTTGTCTATTTTATCGAGAGTCCAAGTTTATAATTATATTAATATAATTAGTGTAATGATTAATTATATCTTTCAGATGGATAACAGGGATAGGGTTTAATAATTAGGCCAACTATCCTATTTGTATGAGCTATTACTGATAAAAAAAACTTTTTAAATTGAAAAATTTGCTGTTAATATTGTGAGGATGACCAAGTTGTAAATAAGCTACTTGGTTGATATAAGATGTTCTAAAAAATTTCAATTATTTTAGAAAATTTATCGATTTAAATGATAAAGACAACGAATGTTTCAAGAGGTTTGTCACGATGTTTTATTGCTAGCAAATAACCCAACCAAATTTTAAAAGTTTAGCTTCGTAGTTTTTGAAGAATGAAATTAGAAAAAGCTTCGATTTCACATGGACTAGTAGTGAGAGGCAGCGAGTTGGTTGCCAAAAACGCATTTTTTACATAATCACATATATATGGATGAAACAAGTATATTAAACGACACTATGGTTAATATTTTTTTGTTATTAATCCTACTTTATTGCAAAATATTATTTACATATTTGTTGTGTAACAAAGGTTGAAAGCAAAAATAAATATTAAAAAATTAATTTCACCCTTTCAGACTTTTGTTACTTTCAATTATTATTACGATAATCTTGTTATACTTAAGTAACAATTGAGTTCAGATCTGAATTAATTGATTTTTTACAATTATTATTTATAATACAATATTGTTCCACGATTGTAGCTGTAACAAATTGCCACTAGATTCATTGAAAGTAATAATGAATACAAATTTCCATGCGTCAACGTGGCATTGTTTATAGTTACTCATTTGGAAAGCTCATTTTGAAATTTAAGTATTATTGTTGTATTAAATGAAGAAAAACTTACCGCTATTAATCAGAATTCTAGCCGTCATCTCGTACTCTACCTCAACACGGTCTTCTACCTTTTTTAACAACCAATGCAAAGGTGTCTCGCTAAATTGATTTTTGACGTTTACATCTGCTCCTGCGTCAAGAAGATATCTGACCCTTATGGAGTTTCTGTCACATACAGCTTGATGCAATTCTGTGTTACTCATGCCATTATTGATATTAATGCCTTGCTCGGTCAGTATTTTGAAGAGTAAGCATTTGTTGGGTTGATCATGATTTTCCCTGTGTTTCACAAATTCCATATAATACAACAGAGACTCGCATGAAAAATTACTATAATTGTCCAATTCAACTGCGCATCTCAGAATGTATATAAAGAACTGTCGTTGGTCCAAACAGCCAAAATCACAACACGCCAGCAACAAACTATTGTAAATATTTTTGCTCTTAGCTCTGCGAGTAATTAAAATCAAAAGTATTAAGTCATCGTTTAAAATAAGTAATTAAAATGAATGTACTATAATAACCGTAAATCTTACCCGTAATCTATAAGTATTTTTACGAAGTTGAGTTTACAATGCACAATAACCATGTCTAGCGGAGTTGAATTAAATAAGTCAGTAACGTTGGGATCTGCTTTGTATAACAATAACAATTTCGTAATAGTCTCACTGTTGTTAAGCATTGCGCAATGCAATGCTGTTTCATAATCATTGTTCAATACGTTTGGATCTGCTTCATGCTCCAATAGAAACCTCACCCAGGAAATCTAAAAGCATAAGAATTAGAAATTTCGTAGACTTTGTGTTTTTTTCGTAATCTTACCTGTTGATCTTCGACTGCCAGATGTAGTGTTGAATTAAAGTTGTACACTTCTGGAGAATTCAAATTTGCACCGTAATCTATTAGCAGTTTCATTATTTTTAGTCTGGCTTCACTTTGATCTGCACTGTTGTAAACCAAATGTATAGGTGTGTAACAGTCGAGATTAAAAACATTTATACCCGATGGGTCTCTGGAAAATTGAAATGTAACATGAATAGTCAGTTTAAAAAAATTCTACTTCATTTTCAGAAACATTTTCATTACCTTCGTAGGATTTCTCGAACTTGTTCAACATTACCGCGAGTGACTGCTTCGTGAAGACTTGTTTCGGTTTGATTGTTCATAATGACACGTTGTTACACTTACTCTGTAATGAATGTTATTATGACGAGCAAACACTAAATTCCAAATGTTCGAATTTATAAAAACCTATCTGTTATAACTGCGTTTGGATGTACTTAGGTTGCAATCAGAAGTGCTCAAAAAATGAGAAAGACTTGTGAGGTATAACGATAGAATATTAGTCAGCCGATGAGCAATGTCTATAATTTCAAAAATTTGATGAATCATTACGCCGCTGAACTTTATATAGACTTATGATGATATTTTGATAAGACCAAAATACATTAGCGTTATAAATTGACTGTACGACGAAAATAGAATACGACATAAGGGATAGTGGGGCAGCGTGAGTTTGTAGGGTAACTCAGGCACCTCATGTATTCAATAAAAAAATTAATGTTTTTCTCTCAAATAAATTTTTTTACATTGTAAAATATCAACACTATTTTCCTCAAAGAGTATCATGATAAAAAGTAATTAAATAATTTGTAAAAATTTATAAAAACATTTTAATAAATAACCATGCGGACAATGATAGCTTCATGGCTTCTTTTGACAACAAAAATTATCTCCAGTAATTATCTCATGAAGTTTCTCCAACAGTCTGTTTGATTTACTTTCAAGATCCGTTGAAAAAAAATTTTTATCTTCCACCATTAAAAAGTTATATTTATTTCAAAACATGGCTTCTAGGGGACATAATGGGCACTACGCTTGAGGCACAATGAGCCTGAGAACTCTGCGTCTGCAGCAGACGCTGTCATTCTGTTCGAATCAAAACAAAGCTGATTAACTTAACCTTAGTCTTAGCTTTAAATTTCTCTAGTCTGTCTTATTTTATAAGTACGTAAGTTTAACTGATGATCGTGACTTGAATAAAAATAAGAATGGTGTGACGATACAAAAAGAAGATGGAGAGAAATATTCATAATATTCAAATCGAATTTTCAAAATATTACACAAAGTGATTTTTTGGTAAATTCAGTTGCTATGAATCCTATAAATTTTAGTTCTTTTTTCCTACAATCTTAAACTGGCAAGACTGAAGAGGTTTTTTACATATATATTTCATTTTAATGAAGCTTTATTTTTATAATATTAAAGTGCAACATTGATGTGATATTGGCATACAGTTATTTGTAATAAACACAAAATTTATGAAATTAAAGCAAGATGTTTGTGGTATTAAAATAACTTATCTAACAGATTGTAATGTAACTTGTGATATTACATTTAATGTACAATGATTTAACAAATAAATGTTTCATGTTTCTTAAATAAATTTTTTATGTTTGTTGAATATCATTAAAAATTTATTAACATAAATACTGTTGTTCACCTACCATCGAATTATTTCAATCATCCCACGCTCATCGTACCCTACAGCTATGTTCACTGTGCCCGCAGAGGGGCAGAATGAGCATTTTTAAGAACTACATTTTATTATATGATAACTAATTATTTATTGATTTATATATTTTTTATTTCGGGTAGTTTTATTCTATGTGTCACGCTCTGAAAGATGCTCAGCTGGAGAATTATATTTAAGGTGGAAAAAAATTGTAAGAGTGTAAACAATAATGGGTGCCCGTCATGCCCTACTATCCTTACCGCATATCATTTCGACGAGACCAGCTGCAAGGGTGTACAGGGAATAAAAATTTTTTCAATTTTCATTTTCCATTCGTACTACAAATGGTATTTTGTGGAATTCCTTATCTGTACGTAACAATGTATTCAAGAAGAAAAAAAAGGATGGGGCTTCATGGATGGATGATCGGCGTGTGAAGGCAAGCAGATAGGCGCAGGAGTCAAGTGCAAGAGCTAACGAAAGAGAAGGAAAGGAGAGACCATACACAGACAGCTAGGGAGTCTTCGTCGTTCGCGAGAAGTGCAAGAACGGAAATACATCGTGTGTGTGTATGTGCTCTGTTCCACGCGTACATTCCTGCTGTGTAAGTACAACCACCGCGTGTAGGACGTTTGCAAACGGAAGAGAAACAGCAAAAAACAACGAAAGGGTTGAGGGGGGAGGTCGAGCCGGCCGGCCGGTCTACTCCCTGTCCTTCTTTCTGTCTTCTGCTATCCACTGCTACTCCAAGTATTGCTCCTCATGCAGGTTCGCATTTTTTTGCACCCCGTGGTATATATGCACACAACCCATGCGCGAGCAGCTCGTTTAATACGCAACGCGCGTTCAAGAGGAAAAGTGTAGCGAGCGCGCGCACACGCGATGATGCATATGGTTTGTTTTCCGAGGAAACCGAACGCGAGCAAACGCGTTTTCTAGGACTGCTTCTTCTGAGGTCTCGTTCTTTCCTTGCCGTCTTTACCCCCCCCCTTTTTGTTTTTCTCCCAAGTAGGGGCCACGTCCATGGACACACATACCTGTATTTTCTACGCCATTTCTCTCACCTTAATTAATCATGTAGGTGCTTACATGATTTAATTGCGCATCGTGCCTGCGTTTGTGGACGTTTACGGTGGCTTCGTTTTTCAGTACCTACAGCATTCGATCCTTCCTTGCACTTTCAAAGAGTACACGTTTGTTCTGGATTTATCAAGAACTCCTCGCTCGTTGTCCACATTGGACGTAAATATTTTTTGTTTGATTGTTGGTTTTTCATCTCCAACACCTGAAAAACTTCTTTTCGCGGCTAAACAATGTTTGCGCGTGCTCTGGTGTGTACACGAAAGACGTGAAAAAACTTTGAAAGCGCTCGGAAGCTCTCACGAAACGATACCGCGAGGCAGGGTCTCAGGAGTGCACCGCAAACATCTTGGCGTGTTTTTTCAGCGACTCGCCAAATCAACGAACCACGTGAATCTCGTGCATTTTCTTTTTCTTTTTTTTTTTTTTTTTGAGTTTCTATTTATCCGTACGTAGACAAACATTTCCTTGATGTTTGAGAACATTGACAAAACGCCCACGGCGTTGATATTCCTTGCAACGACGCTTATTATTTCTGCGCTCAGAAAGAGGAAGAAGAACGGGGAAGAGAATTACTTCCACTTTCGCATATAATCGCCTCGGTGTCACTCATTCGACATTATTCAGATAATGATACATCCATCTAGTTCCCCTGAAACAATTTTTCCATCAACCGTAATATATATATCTCATGTGATATACTCATCCGAGGCTGCGTTTAAAATTCTTCCACCTAACTACAAGCATCGAGCATCATCATCGTCATTATCATCGCCATTATTGTCGATCCTAAGTAGAAAACAAAATCACGACTACACCCTCAACTATAATCTCGTAAAACGAGAATTACGAATGAGGTACCTGATGACTGGCTCATATGTAAATGTAGAATGACTCGACGCTTCGCACGTACTTTCATCGTTTTCGGGAACAAGTAGATCAGATCGAAAAGATGTAAGGACGGAGGGGAGTTCCTCAGCACATCGCATGTACTCCAAATGACTCCGCAGGCAAAGAAAGAGATACAAGATAAACAACGGTAGCGGCAGCATGATCCATTAATTTTCTTGGCAAACTTTTCCCCGCGTGTTCCAGCTTTTCGTGTTGTTTTTTTTTTTCCTCAATTCCTCTCTCTCTCTCGCACCTCGTATAGCACACTGCGCCATACGTTTCTCGAAACGAGGTAACGACGAGCCCCCGCGTACATGTACGTGATTTCCCGGAAAAATTCAACCCTCCACGCTTAATAAACAAGAAGATAAAGAAAACCAGGATGGGGGAGGGGGGTTAACGATCACGTGAAAAATCGTGAAATTAATCGCACGCCTGCACCATAGAAGAAGCGCGAAGATCTTATCTCTTTGCTCGCGCTCTTTCTTTTTCTCTTTCCTCGCGTTTTCGTCGATCCTTATCTCCGTACACGTACACGTGTACGGCGTACGTATACACGCACGCACTTGAGAGACAAAGCTGAGAGTCGACGACGCGAGAGTGTATACGTATATAACGAGCAAGAGCGGTAGCAGCTGCAGGACGAGGATATGTGGAGCGAGAAAGAGAGAGACCCTACACCGATAAGTTTCGAAGATAGAGTTTGAAGATATGAGTGTCTTATGAGAAGGTGTAGGGATGTTTCCGGGGCGGCGCGGGCGGTTCACGTTGCTGATAATGCGTTCGAAATTGAATGATGAAAGAAAAGGTGAGAAATGTGAGTGAGTGAAGGAGCGAATGAAGTCCCTTTCTTCAGTATACCTTGAACCGATTGCTCTGACGAAGAGAATGTAAGAGAGACTGGGGTGATCGATTTTGTCAAAATCAGTAGACTTTCGTACTCACTCATCTTTGCTCATTTTCTGTGTACATCGATGCTATTGTGTTTGCTTACAGCTTGGGTGTTGTGTATTATGAGATGGATTAATAAATCTTAAATAAAGGTTCAGAGCAATTGATTACAATCCAAAAACAATTTCATTTTGAAGAGGGGGAGCTCAAAATCGAGTGATAGTCTGTTATTAAAGAAAATCTCGAACTCTGAACGTTTTTTTGAGACCCATCAAGGATTTTTATTATTTGCCGCAATTGAGCCGGACTCATTGGTAATATCATTCATTTACACTGAAATTCAACTAAGAAGTGCAATACTGCGACTACAAGATCTTTTTAAAGGTGTATTCTCGTTAAATCCGTTTTTTGAACACTCGTACAATGCTTACCATAGAATCAGGGTAAGCTACGTGCAAATGAAACATTACAAAGCTGATGATAAGCTACCACATTTACTTTATCTTTCAACTGGGTATTAATCCGTAAATTGTTTTTCTGTTCTTGGTCTCCATAATAAACGTAATATTGCACTATCAGCATCTGGATGTATAATGGTCGATAAGTCAATTAAGATGAGACACCTACCAGAGAATAAGAATAAGACGGTGATGATGCATGGCACTTTGTGGGATATGACTAATTAAAATACAAGATACAGGTCCGTTTATACACATATAGGTGAGGATATCTCAATTAAGGGTCGAGGAAGCGTGGGTATCTCGACACAAGTGTATGTATGTAGACGCG